TTGTAGTTGAACACTACTCTTTGGATAATAAAATTTGATTTATCCAAAAAAAATAATAATTCAAAACACTACTCGCCATCCAAAACTAAAATCCAGTTCCCTGAAAGCTGCCTCTCGGTCTTCAGCTGTATCATATTTCGGTACGCACCAAAAGGGTACTAAGCTAATCCCAATTTCTCCCTTTTGAGATGCCTGCACATTCATCAATCGTCACCATAACACATGCGAATTTTTATTCAGATTTGTTCTAATTATATAAAGACATTGTTCGGGATTACTCCGGTCGAATTCGAGTATCGAAAACCGATTCGAACCTGCCACTTCTCTTTGTAGAGAAGGAAGTGACGGGATAAGATGTAAGAGTCGTTTGCTGGAGTGACAATGCCCATGCTCCACCCATTTGGTTCATTCATAGTCACCCACTGCTTGACTGGACCCCCAAATGTTTTAAAGAAGAAAATCAGCATGCTCAAAGAAGTCATCCCTCTCAGTGAAATAAACAGATTAAATCTTTTCTAGAACATACATTCATATTCATATTACGTGTTCAAATATACGCCGGACACGAATACTTTAAGATCAGTTGATAAATCCGAGTCAATCGTAAAACTTACAAAATTTTGGGACCTGAAAATGCACCGTATTTTCATCTTCGAGAGCTTGGGGATGATCAAATTGGAGTAAAGACACAAAGGGAATTAAGCCATTGGCAAGGAGGTGGTCGATCAGATTGTTGTAAAATTGGACACCCAGTGGGTTCACTCCACCACTAAGTTTGCCCTCTGTAGAATAGAGACCCTAAACTTCAATTTCTGTGCAAAATTCATCAACTATTTGGACTATTATTAAAACTAAAAATTAATGGACTTTCTGGGAAAAATTCTAGACCATGAAATGGAGAATCTGAAGGAATCCAAACCAGTCTTTTTCATAAGCATTATATCCTCCCGTGGATCATTAAATTAATTACTTAATTTAATGATAAGAATGTTTTATGGATATGCATAGGATGAGTAATTGATGTATATAGTTAGTGCATCAAATATTAGTCTATGAAAATAATTAACCAATAGATAACTAACCTTGTAACGATGATAAAAATCGATTGCTACATTTCCTGTACTCCCATCAATAATCCTTTCTGTCAATATATCATATTTCGAGTTAACTTAGAATTTTTGAAATATCATATTTATTTTTTATTTTAATATAAACAGTATAACTAATTAATAAAAAATTGAAATTTAAACCTCTTATGCAATATCATAAATTCAAATATTGGTATTATGAATAAAAATTTCGAATTATAAACGTATGCAATACTTAATTCAAATTAATTATAAACCAAATATTATAATTATAAAAAAATTATTAATTATTTCCTTGAGTTGGGTTTATTTCTCTTTTAATATGAGATATATAAAATAATAAAGGGTAAATTATGCATTTAGTAGTTAAACTATCATTTTTGATCTATTTTAGTACCCAAACTTTCATTTCTTTCAAAACCATGCCCAATGTTCAATTTTCATTTCATTTTAGTACTCGTCGTTAAAAACTTAATGTGTTTAGTACCTAAACTACCAATTTTAGTACCTAAAATTTCATTTTTTTTCAAAAAATAATGTTAAATTTTGAACGGGTATTAAATGAAACAAAAACTAAAGTTTTTAACGGGATACTAAAATGAAACAAAAACTAAACTTTAGATATGATTTTAAGAAATTAAAAGTTTAAGTACTAAAATAGATCAAAACTGATAGTTTATATACTAATCTCATAATTTACCAAAAATAAATTAACATAGATATTTTCTAACGAAATTGTTCCAGAAAATTCGGTACTTTCCCATCTTAGAGAGTTGCTCCTTCGATCTGTAGTAGAGCCGCAAGTCAACAATAATAATATTAAGGGTAAATTAGATATTTAGTCACTTGACTATTTATATAGTTATGATGTGATATTATTTTATGATAACAAATCAATATCATTGTTATTTTTTAACGGTGAATGACTAAAACGAAATGAAAACCCATCATGCAATATGCTTTAGAAAAGAAATAATTTAATAACTAAAACGAAACTACGAAAATAAGTAGATTGACTAAATACATAGTTCACCCTCATATTAATAACTAAAAGGAGAAGATAGGTACCTGGTAAGCAGGTGATCCAGCTCCGAAAATAAAACCATTAGGAAAGTAGCCGCGGTTAAATGGCGTATGTGTAGCCGTTGCACCCGAAGGTCCAGCAGCGCCCAGGGCGGCTAGCACCATTAGCATGCTCAACAATAAAAGCCCGCTATAAATGAGACGAGACAGATCGTGAGCTACTCGAGATCAACTTGGTCAAAGCTCGATAAATACTCGGATCGAATAATTCGACTCGAGCTCGACTAGAATTCTTAACGAGCCGAAACGAGCTGCTTGATACTCGACTCGAAAAGCTCGTGAGCAACTCGAAAATAATATATTAAGATTTTATTTTTAAAAAAAAATTATTAATAATATTAATATTATGTATTGATTTTTTTTAAAATTAAATAATTTTATGTATTTAAGATTCAGGTTCGAGTTCGAGTTTGAAACTTCAATCTAGTTAAGTTTAAGATTTTTTTTTCATTTCGAGCCTTTTTGAGCTGCTCACGAGCTTCAGTTCAGGATTTCGAGTTCGAGTCGAGCTTAAAAATTTTAAGCTCGCGAGTTTTCGAATCGAGTCGAGCTTCATTTCAAGTTTTCAAGTCAAATCGAACTCGACTCAGTTTTAGACCCTCTATATATACACTCTTTCCCTATATATACAAATGGCCGTCCATGTTTAAATAAAAACAAGTTGGTATTAAATTAAAATTGTGCAATCAATTATGAAGATGACTGGATAGCTCGTATCCATTGGCACATTATCTTCTTTTATATAAATAAGTACTAAAATTATTGTTAATCATATGTGAGCTGACTTGATCTTCCATGTAATAAAGACACCACAACTTCTTACTATGAAACGAAGTGAACTGTATCATTTAGGGGTGAGCAAAACCGGCTGATTCAAATTTTTTTAACAAATTTAATTTTAAATTATTCGAGTTAACTCGAATTATAAATTTGGTTTTCGAGTTGAGTTGAAATTTTGAAATTTTGAGTTATTAAAAAAAATTGAAATTTTGAATAAGTATTTTACAGTTTTACGATTTCGTCCTTGATTTCATTATTCCTTCAATTCTCCTTCACCATTTTTCACCAAATTTTAATCACATGCTCATAAACCATGATAATAAATTTTTATTTTTCAATTTAGTCCTTAATTTTTCATAATTTCGTTATTTAGTCAATACATCATTTATTTTAAGTCCTTTTTACCAAATTTGAACACATGCTCATATACCACAATAGAATACCTATGTAACTTCAATTCATCTTTTTGATAATAATTTTTTATTTTTCAATTTAGTCCCTCAATTTTTTATAATTTCTTATTTCTTCAATTCATCCTTTATTTTAAGTTTGTTCTTTTACCAAATTTGAACCACATGCTCATATGACACAATAGAATACCTATGTAACTTCAATTCCTCTTTTTAACAATAGTTTTTTATTTTTCAATTTAGTCCCTCAATTTTTCATAATTTCCTTATTTATTCAATTCATCATTTATTTTCAGTACGGTTTTTTACCAAATTTGAACCACATGCTCATATACCACAATAGAATATTATGTAACTTCAATTTCTACTTTTTTTAAAAAAATTACTCTCTATTCTTTTATTTAGTCCCTTAACTTTGTATTTTACTCAATGTTGTCTTTTGACTACAATTCCTTTATACTCTCATCAATATTTTACCCTCAAAATATTTTCTCTGAGATATAATATTATGAATATATTTTATAATTTTAGATTTTATTTATATATTAAATAATATTATAATATGAAACGAATATATATATATATATATAGAAAAAGTCAAAAGATTGAAACAAATCCTTGATATAATACTATAAATAATCATAATAAAATTAGTATAGAAACTCGAGTAACTCGACTCGAGAAAATTTCAAGTTAAGTTCGAGTTGTAAAATATGACTGATTAACTCGAATAACTCAAAAAATTTTGACTAGACTCGATCCAATGTTCACTCCTAATATCATTATATGATAAAAAAACAAATAAAATTGGCAACTTGTTCTTTCTGAAGGTCTTGCATTTAAATTGTTATTATGTCTACGGATGTGTGTGCAATATCAGTGATTAAAAAAATTTGACCATACATTACTTTATAATCATTCTAAACTATTTCTTTTTAAAATGTATATAGTTAAAAATGTACAACATATGTCAAATATAACTTTTGTTATGTGATGAGACATTATTTTTATGTATATTTTACGATTTAATTATATTTAATTATTGAGATTAATAAAGGCCATTTAACCCGAATTTGATGAGTCTTGACTAGATTGATAGAGTCATTTTTCTTTTAAAAAGTCGGGTTTAAGTTGGGTCGAGGGTTTAAAGAAGGGGTCGGATTCGGATTTAAGATGAAAAAAACTTATTCGACCCGACTCGAGAAAATAATATAATTATCTCTTATATTTAAGGATGATTGTAAAATACACATCTCTATGTATTTTCTTTTCAATTAGATCTCTATTTTATCTAATGATAAAAATATTTTTTTAAATATACGTGTTAGATCAAATCAAGCATAAGTTTTTATCTCAAAAATTAAATCTAATTATGCGTTAGATTGAATCTCTCTAAACCTGAATCATGTGCAAATGGAGGAGTATAAATTTTGGGTCGAGTCCGGATAGGGGGGGAAACCACAAGCCATGACCATCTCCGGGATAATGAGCTGAAAATCATTGATTATGATCGATTGAACCACAAATCTGTGTTAAAGAGATATAACGAGACATTGACTAAGCAAAATCACATTGTTTAAATGATAAAACAGCTTAAATAGCTAAACTAATTAATAACTTAAATAATCCGAAACCCTTATCCATCTTGTAAAAGAAAAAAATTATAGTGATTCATAATTCTAAATGAATCTCTCATGGTGGAACTATTGAAGAAGAAACTGTTTCAGCTCCTATACGTGGGAATGTTGAGCCTGAGGTTTCTGATGTAGTTTCAAAAGACTGTTGGTTCCCATAATTAGCTCGCCGGATTTCCTCCACCGTCTTTGCTAGGTCGGCCGTTTTCGGTCTCTGCTCCGGCACCCTCACCACACAACTCATTGCAACTTGTAGCATCTCCACCATTTCCTCCTCATTCAGAAAACGTAAGAGTTCGACGTCAAAAACTTCGGCCGTCCACTCTTCCCGAACCACCGAGTGCACCCACCTCACCAAGTGAACGATCTCCTCGCCACCGGTGGCGTGTATCGGTGATCTCCCGGTTAGAAGCTCAAGTAAAAACACCCCGAAACTGTATACATCAGATGCTTGAGTCGCTTTCCTTGTGTCTGTTACTTCTGGCGCACGGTAACCAGCAGCATGCGTTATGGGCGGGGGCATTGAACTCATTGCCGATGCTAAACCGATATCGGAGACGCAACCGTATTGTTCTGAGTTGATGAAAATGTTGGAGGCTTTTATGTTTCCATGTACGAGCTTGCCATTGTTTTGTGAGTGGATATAAGCAAGGCCTCTTGCAGCACCAATTGCAATCTTAAGCCTAGTTTCCCAGTCCAAAGGTGTCCTGCTTTCACCCCTTTTACCTGAAAATGCAGACACATGTATATAGGCACACACACATAGATTAAGGATCAAAGAACAGATTATATTAAATAAAACGGACCCGAATTCGAGTATATCTAGTTAGTTTACCATGTAGCAAAGCAGAGACACTTCCCAGATCATAGTAATCATGAACCACAAGCTTCTCATCTTTTGAATAATATGCTCTTAGTGCAGACACATTCTCGTGCCTGATATGGCCAATGACCTCCATTTGTTGTTCGAACTCCCGTTTAGCCGATGCGACCTCTTTCAACCTCTTCACCGCCACGGTTGTCGAATCCTCCAAGGCCGCTTTATACGTCACCCCAAATGTTCCCTTCCCAAGCACCTCAGCAGAAGAACTCAACAAGTCCTCAAGATCAAATGCAAGATGACACCCCTCAAAGAACACAAGCCTGTTGTTGTTATCATGATTCTCGGAAGCCATTTTCTTGAATTTGATCTCTTTCTTCGGGATGTTTTCCGGGAATTCTCGTTGTGGATTTCGTCTCTTGGACCGACGACAGATTATCAAAAGGGAAATCAAAACACACAGCAGGACACAAGCTCCGATTATTACCCCCAAGAGTGCCGGTTCACCGAGTTTTCGAGCTTTCTTGGATGCTTGAGCATTAGTTGGTTGGCCTGGAAGAGTGGTGGTGGTTGATGAAAGGTTAGTATTACCAGAAAATACCGAGATTGGGAATCTTCCAAGGGACTTGGGGATAATGCCAATGAGATCATTGTTGGACAAATCAAGCTGTTGCAAGCCGGGGATATTGATATCCGGGATATCACCCGAAAGCGAGTTATTCGAAAGATTCAAAGCTACCAAGTGACGGGATTTCGACACCGATGGAGGAATGCTTCCGTTGAAGCCATTGTTCGAAAGATCAACAATGGTAAGATTATTCCAAAGAGACAAATCAGGTAACGAACCAGATAACTCATTGAATTGTAGATAAAGTGTAGTGAGTGTCTTGAGCTCGACAAAATCGAAAGGAAACGAACCCGAGATGGCATTGGATCTAAGGCTCAAGACCTCAAGAGCTGATAACCTACTGAGAGTGTTGGGTGGAATAGGGCCTCGAAATCCCATTCCAGGCAAATGCAGACCAACAACCCTGGACTTATCACGGTTGCACGCCACACCGATCCAGCTGCTGCAAACAGAGGCTTCTTTGTTCCAGTTGAAAGACCTTGAGTGATGAATATGTTCAACGAAATCTAATAAAGCTTGTTTATCTTCAACTGGGACTGCCTGGATAGATAAGAAAATTGCCCCCATGATGAACATGAACAATGGGTTCATTTTCTTGAACATTTTCCCAGTTGCCAAACACCCCAATGAATCAACCAGAAATCTCAGCAGTACTTTGGCCACATCGACATGAATTTGAATGACACACCAAAGATATCAGAAAGTCAGACACAATCATTAAAGAATCTGTTTGTAAGCTATAATCGCTAGTATCATTGACTAAAAAGACATGATTTTAGGCGGAAATTTTTCAAAAGCAGCAGTTTTAGGTGAGTTAGGTCCATCAATTTTTTGACTTTTTCTAACCGGTGTCCACCTTTTCTCTATTTGGCTACTGTGTAAAATGTTTTAAAAAAAAATTCATTATCCCGATTTTAGTTAAACGCGGCTGCTAATGGGTATATAAGTTTTAATATTTTTCAAGAATCAAAGTAGAATAACAACATTCAGATTTTTTCTCCTATTCTCTTTCATTTTCTCGACAACCAAACAGTTAATATGCAAACACCAGAGAATAGAAAGACCAAGGAGAACAAACCTACTTGAGGAGAAACCCAGAGCCCAGATCAAATGAAAAATGGAAAAGCTTCAGAATTGATTAAAATTCAAGAACATGAAACAAATAAAACAAAAAGCATATTATCCAAGAATCAAATAAGCTACTCCATTAGATAATCATTTGAGAGAAAGAAGCCGCAGTCCCCACATGCTAATATTTTACGTTTTATTAATTTCAGCTTACGAAGAATGATATGTAATTAAGTAGGTGCTGTGGGTCTGGGGTACACTGCACGTATGCACGTAGGGATCCATGCATGGATATTCTTACTTCATTGATGATTGCTTTATTAAACTGGTGCCGGTGATAAGCGGCGGAACCACCGTTTGGTGAGGGTAGGCATGCGTCCACTTGAAATTTGAATTTTTTTTATTAATTATTTATTTTATTGATGAATTCATGTTAAAATTTTTCATATCTACCTTAAAATTTATGTATTCTTTGATTAGTTACTTATTTTATTAACGGTGCTCGTCCTAAAATTTTATTTCTATGCACTCCATTTAAAAATTCATGTTAATATATGTAGGCTACTTTTAAAAATATTTCTAAATATATCACTATTAATGATTTCGATTTAAACAATATTACAAATAAAATATACGTAATTTTTATCTACTTGAGGTGTCGACATTTAGACGTTGACTTTTTACTCGGTGGTGTGACCTATTTAATATTTTTTTTACTATCAAAACGGACAAAGCGGAATCATTTAAGAGCGGGAACCATTTATGAACGGGGATGGTTTAGTTAAAAAAATATTATCTAAAATGTTAATAAATTTTTAATTTTTTTTTTAAAAAAGTGTTATCTAAAATATTGTTTTTTTATGAAAATGTTAATATTAAGCGTTATATAAAATGTTTAACACTTTCGGTAAAACGTTACTAAAATATTATTTTTTCTATCGAAAATTAATTAATGAAATTAATATTTTAAGTAAAAATAATAATGTTTTAGGTAACACTTTACCGAAAATATTAAAAAATATTAACATTTCCGGTAAGTCATTTCTTTAACTGTATATTAAGACTACAGTACAGCAGAACTACTCTTTAAGAGCGGGCATAATCCCCAATGAATTGCCCAAGCTTATTTAAATAAATTATTTTTCGGTTTAATCTTTTTGGATCATCGTGGACAATTAATTATTGTCTTTCACTTGTCATTTTTTACGATAAAATAATATTAAAATATTTATTTTTCTTTTCTTGTGATTTTTTAAAATAAAATTCACTCAAAATCGATTAAATTAAATAAAAGAATATATCATTTTTAAAAGTTTAGAGGCTTTCTTAGACGTGGATTTTATGTTGTTTGTTTGAAAATTCAAAAGCATTAATTTAAGAACACGAATAAAATACCTCAAAGCTAACCTTATTGGACGGTTATCGGGCTCGAATTATTAGTACATTGAGCCTTTAAATAATTTTTCGTCTATTTCAAGTAAGGATGGCAACAGACCGGGTTCGGACCGGGTATTGGTCCCCCTGTCCCCGTCCCCGTTTAAAAAACCCGTATCTATCCCCGTTTAAAAAACCGCGGGGATTTAAACGGGGATCTCCATCGGGTAATCGGAGAAATCGCAGGAAAACTGGTATCCCCGTTTAGCATAAACGGTTATTTAAACGGGTATCGGGCCGGGTATACATATTTAAATTAAATATATAAATACTATATATATTTTTTAAACTAAATTAAATTTATTATTATATATATATATATAATAATTATTTTTAATATTTATCGGGCCGGGTAATCGGATAATCGGGGCGGGGATTACTAAACCCGTCCCCGTCCCCGATTTTTCCCCATCCTCGTTTAATTCGGTTTTCGATTTTCCCCGTCGGGTTCAGGTTTTTTTACCATCCCTAATTTCAAGTGGGTTTTTATAAAAAATCAATCATAGGAGAAGAAATACGAGTGAATGCTAACATTTTAACATGGACCTTATTGAAAAAGATGATAGATGACGGTGGCAAAAAAAAAAAACTTAATATCAAAAACTGAACTTTCTTAAAATTTAGTGACAAAATTCATACATCCTTAAAGACCAGCGCTTTGAACGACATAACCACAATGACGAAAAGATCGGTTCATGTCATCCCAACATTCAAATTGAACAGCTCTTGATTGAAGTCAAAACCGAAACGTACTATTGTAATTGGAGAAACCAAAAAGATCCACACACCGCCTAAAATTCAACGATATATAATATAATTTATCCTATTTATTTTACCACTGCGGGCCCAAATTCACATTGTATCTAAATTTAGCGGCCCATGTTAGAGAAATATAAAATTCGGGCCACCAAGGTGTTCATTTGAGGCTCATACTTTAGTAACTGATTATTTTTATCAATGAAATTTCTATTGTTTTAAACTTTTTAATACGATAAAATTTGTTTAAAATTATTTAAGATTGGATTGCTAATGGATGTGAGAGAAGTCGACGTCTTCGGTCGATTATTACTATTATTATTTGATTAAGTTAAGATAATTATAAAATAATAAATGTTTCAAATACTTTTAATTAGTTGACAATTAACGCTCAATCATCTTGTTGTATCGTTGGTGCTCGAATCTATACTTTATATAAATAATAATAATAATTTTTTTAATGTTTCGGTCAAATATTAAAGTCAAGCTTATGGGCATGGTTTTAAATCTGGCGGGCCCAATAATTACAATAAAATCTATACATTGTCTATTATGTTCACTCCTTTTCGCCGGATATTACACCAATATGAATAATAAAAAGTGAAAGATATTTTCTAAAAATATTAATTATGTATACAAGTCGAAAAAGGTACGTGATGTGGACCGTCCGTGTTAAGAGTACACCAATCAACAAGGAAAGCCGATCCTTGCATCAATTCAGGACAAGTAGACATATATACAATTAATAATAGAGAAAATCGTCTCAGTGACCAAAATTTTCATATAATATACGATTTTAATCAATTTTTTTTTCCAGATTTATCAAAATGACCAACAAAATCGTAATGCGATCGCTAATTCGCAACGCGATCTCCATTATCGCAAATTCGCGTTGCATTTCGCGTTGCGATAGTTGAAAATCGCGTTGCGATGGTCTACAGTGTCGTTGCGATTTTCCCAATTCGCAATGCAAATAAGTAAATCGCAATGCGATACTGACTATCGCAATGCGATACTTACTATCGCAATGCGATAATACAAAATCACAACGAGATACTGACTTTCGCAACGCGATTCTGACTTTCGCAACACGATAATACATAATCGCAATGCGATTTTCAAAGCGCCATTAGTATCCTGGCCAAGTATTTTATTTTTAAATTCCAAACACGAATATTAATATATTGGAACACTGAACCGTCCAGAGTATATCCCGTAATCGCAACTCATAACCTAAAACCTAAAATCACAACTCAGTCCCATCTCCATCTCTCACTCTCTCACCCATCTCCGACGAAATCCGTCCCCATCTCCGGCGAAATCCATCTATCTCCATCTCTCAGAGCCACCCTCACAATCAGAAATGGAAAAACAACCAAATCAACTAACGAGGGTTAGTTTTTTTAATTATTTTCTTTTTGAAAATTTTGCATTATTATTAGGTTTTTCATATTGAAATTGATGATAAGTTTACTGGTAATTTCAATAATAGATTAACCATTTCACTTAGATTGCTTATTAAATCAACCGAGAATCGCAACGCGAAATGCAAATCGCAACGCGATTTTAGTTTCGCGTTGCGATAGTCAAATTCGCGTTGCGATAGTCATTTTCGTGTTGCGATTTTCATTTTCAGAAACTATTCTTCTTCTGCAAATTGAAACTTGAATGAATTGCATTACTTCAACCAAAAAACAAAGACAAATACGAAATTCACAGTGTTGCAAATTTAAGTTTGAAGAATAAACTACTACTCTTTATGTTTATTATTGTTTTTGGTATATCTTCACAGTGTAGTTTTTGGTATATCTAACTTAGTATGTTTATTGTTTTTGTAGAACTTTTATTCGGCTCAATTGACCTTAAGAAATAAAGTCAGCCTGGCCAAAACAATTGCGTCGAAGCTTTCACCTGCACAAAGAAAAATGTTTGAGGATACATGCTTCGGGCCATGGCTGAAAGTACAACATCCCGGTGGAGATGCGATGTTGACACACCTGTTTCTTCAAACCATGACTAGCGATCTACCAGAGACTATACAACGTCGTGATGAAGAGATATGGTTTGATTTTCCACCGGCGTATACGTGTTTGGGCGGGAGGAGTTTTGCTTAATCACCGGTCTACGCTTCGGACACGATGATGTAGGTCGGTACACTAGACACATTACCCGCCCATCATGGCTATCTCGGGTTTTTCTTGAGCTGGAGAGGCCGAATCTACACGTAGAAGACCTGACAAGATTGTTGAATAAGAAAGATGGTTTTACTCGGATGGATGACGTCGACGTTGTCCGAGTATGCCTTCTAATTCTTTTGCATACCGGTTTTTTAGGCAGAGAGGCCAGACAACCTATTCCAAATGATCTAATCAAATTGGTAGAAGACCTAAATGCGTGGAACCTGTTTCCGTGGGGCTCGTATTTATGGAAAGCTACATGGAATAAGTTATCGTCTGCCTTGGATGAT